TCTGATGCAGGTTTTTTTTTTTTTTAAATTGCTTGTCGGGAGGCATGTAGAACGCCTGGCCTTGAAATACCATGAAGTGTACCAGAAGAAAGATGTAGACATATATATTATTATAATGTATACGACACCCGGGTAACAGTTAACACACTCTTCATGATATTTGTACATTGTTTCAATAACTTTAAAAAAAAAACAACAACAAAAAAAACAAACAAACAAACCACCAAACATACCAGGCTAGACATTAATCGAATCAATAAAATAGATATGTAAAAATGTAAAATTCTGGTATTGAAACATATAATTTATTATGGAATATTATGACATAAAGACAGCCAAAGGTCACGAAAGTTTCAAATTAAATTTAGTATCATTTCATTTTTATTGTTATTTGTTTTCAAAAGTTGCAATTGTAGAATTTACAATTTCAGACGATTTTTTTTAGTTTGTGGAATACACTTGGGCAAAATTGAAATATTGTTATTATGAAGTTTTTGGCTTAAGCACGCCTGTATCAATGCGTATGTTCATTCATGTTTTATTTGTTAAATAAAAGAAGAGTTCTACACAAACAAATGTAAAAACAACAACAAAAAACTGCCTTGAGGAGCATCACTGAAAATTAACAAAAAACACATTAAACTGTGACTTTATTTGCCACACAGGTCACACAGGTGGGTTAAATTAATCGTACACTATGACTTTCAAACAGAATGCCCCATGAACTGCGTAGAACAATCGTGTGAGCGAACTAGTGGATTGTGTGCAAAGGGTTGCAAGCAAGGCTACTTCGGAAAGGATTGCAATACTGGTAAACGTTTCTTCTTTTAAAACTAATTTACCTGAACAAAGGGGAGGGGGGGAAGAGATTTTTCTGAACGCGTTTCATTAAATATTAACGTGACACCAGAGGTGGGTTCAAGTGTAGCTTTGATATCACTTCATACAGCGTGCCCCCATATATTAACGTGACACCAGAGGTGGGTTCAAGTGTAGCTTTGATATCACTTCATACAGCGTGCCCCCATATATTAACGTTACACCAGAGGTGGGTTCAAGTGTAGCTTTGATATCACTTCATACAGCGTGCCCCCATATATTAACGTGACACCAGAGGTGGGTTCAAGTGTAACTTTGATATCACTTCATACAGCGTGCCCCCATATATTAACGTGACACCAGAGGTGGGTTCAAGTGTAGCTTTGATATCACTTCATACAGCGTGCCCCCATATATTAACGTGACACCAGAGGTGGGTTCAAGTGTAGCTTTGATATCACTTCATACAGCGTGCCCCCATATATTAACGTGACACCAGAGGTGGGTTCAAGTGTAGCTTTGATATCACTTCATACAGCGTGCCCCCATATATTAACGTGACACCAGAGGTGGGTTCAAGTGCAGCTTTGATATCACTTCATACAGTTTTCCCCCATATATTAACGTGACACCGATGTGGGTTCAAGTGTAGCTTTGATATCACTTCATACAGCGTGCCCCCATATATTAACGTGACACCGATGTGGGTTCATGTGTAGCTTTGATATCACTTCATACAGCTTGCCCCCATATATTAACGTGACACCAAGGTAGGTTCAAGTGTAGCTTTGATATCACTTCATACAGCGTGCCCCCATATATTAACGTGACACCTGAGGTGGGTTCAAGTGTAGCTTTGATATCACTTCATACAGTTTGCCCCCATATATTAACGTGACACCGAGGTGGGTTCAAGTGTAGCTTTGATATCACTTCATACAGCGTGCCCCCATATATTAAAGTGACACCGAGGTGGGTTCAAGTGTAGCTTTGATATCACTTCATACAACATGCCCCCATATATTAACGTGACATCATGGTGGGTTCAAGTGTAGCTTTGATATCACTTCATACAACATGCCGCCATAAACTGCCAAAACCATCTATGTGTTCAAGATACTGGATTGTGTACAGGAGGCTGCTAACAGGGATTCGGAATTGATTGCAAATCACGTGAATTTTTAAATTTTTTTTAAAACTGATCACGTGTAAGGAAACAGGATATGTATGTAATATATATATATATATATATATATATATATATATATATATATATATATATATATATATATGTGAGTTTTGAGAGGGGTTTATGTATTTTTTATAACATTCCGTTTGGGGCCGCCGGCCCAAAGTTCGTTTTTTCCCCCTTATTTGAGCTATATAAATAAAATTAAAAACTAATACTCCTATATGAGTAGATGGATCTTGACCAAAATTAGTACACATACACTTGATTATTTATATTCAAAAACCGAAGGGTAATGAACTCATAATATCCATTCTTCTGGGGCTGGGGGCCCCATTTCATTTTTCCATTTTTAAGCTATTTAAATATCCAAAGGCTTAGAGAACACTGTTGATTCTATGTGAATTGATAGGCCAAGCTTGGTATCAATACACTTCATTGTTCGTATTGAAAAATCGGATTTACAATCTAAGAATATCCAATTTAGAATTTTCCAGAAAGTCCGATAACTTTAAAATACTATATCTAAAGCATGGCTACACTGTTTTTCTTTAGCGGACAAATGGTGCATTGTAACTCCAAAATTTATCTGAATGATTTCTAAGGGGTTCCCCAGCTCAGGCAAACTGATTCGGTAAAATATGGAATAGGCCCCCACTGGACACAGTCTTTTGGCTTAATTGTATTGCAGCTTTAGCAGTGCATTTAGTTGTATAATTGTTAAAGTTTTAGAAGAAAAAAAATTACTTAGAAATTTATTTTTTGCAACGTTTCGAGGACGTTATTTTAATTCTTTTATACACACTAACACAGTAGCCATTTTAAAACAACCCTCTGTTTACACACACTATTGATTGTAGCCAGATTGTACGCATTACTATTTTTTTTAAAGAAATATAAACGGGAAAAAAAAGTTATACTTATTTATTTATTTATTTATTTAGGCATTTTTATATAGCCCTTATCATAAAGCTCTAAGCGCTTTACAATTATTAAAACATGTAAACTAAGTAAATACAAATGAGACACTAGGATAGTAACTACTATTCTATAGAAACAATGAAAATGGCTATAAAACGAATATAGCCCTTATCATAAAGCTCTAAGCGCTTTACAATTATTAAAACATGTAAACTAAGTAAATACAAATGAGACACTAGGATAGTAACTACTATTCTATAGAAACAATGAAAATGGCTATAAAACGAAGACACTTTGACACTTCAGGATCAACCCGAAACAGAAAATGAGGTAGGGCAAGGAGGGTGCATCACAGGTCATAGGCGGACCTAAACAGATGAGTTTTAAGGGACTTTTTGAAAATGGACGAGGTTTCACTATGACGTATATGGAAGGGGAGCTGGTTCCAGAACGTGGGCCCATGGAAGCAGAAGGAGCGTTCACCGATGGTCTTAGTTTTAGTTCTTGGGATTGATTAAACATGAATAACTTGTAAACACAAACGAAGAAAACATAGCACATGTCTCTTAAATGTATACAAATTAACACAGTAACCCTTTTAAAACAAACCTCCACGTATACCTACTAACACAGTAGCCCAATCAAACATCCCTTTATTCTGACCCCCATTCAAACAAACAAAAGAAAAAAAAAGTCTTTAATACCTCTCGATCACAATTATCCAAAGATTATTTTCAAATTTAAAGAAAAAAAAAAGTTTTATATATTGCTGAACAAAGAAAAAGAACCTGTAATTTTGCTGCACACCTTCCATTGAATATAAACTTGACAACGAGGTGAGTAATATTATTAATTTGATATCACTTCCAACAGCTTGCCCCGTAAACTGCCAAAATCCTGTGTGTGCAGCTGATACTGGAATGTGTACAGGAGGCTGCAAACCAGGATTTTACGGAAAGGATTGCAAAACAGGTAAAGCTATCTTTATTTTCACTGATTACAACAAGGAGAATATATATATAAATCTCTATACATATATATTCACTCACGCCTTAAGAAGTGTGGTCCTGAAATGATGGGAGGGATGTGATAAATTGATGTTGTTTTTGCTCGTCCTTTGTCACACAACACCCCTTCCATGTTTACACACTGCTGTATAGTCTTCATGAACATCCCCTCCGCTTACACGCACTGACCGTATAGCCATCACAAACATCATTTCCATATTTACACACTGAAACAATAGCCATCTTAAAGATCACTCAACGTATACAAAATCAAATATTTAGCCTTCCCAAACATCACTAACATGTAAAAAATAACACAGCAACCATAGCAAACATCACTTCCATTTGCAAAGTAACACAACATCCTTCATAAAATCATTTCCATGTGCAAACTAACACAACAGCCATCCCAAGCATCACTTCCTCGTTTCACAATGACATTGGAGCCACTGCTCGCACTTCTTTCATTTATTCATATCCAAAATAGTCGTCTCGCACACGATTTCCAATTAACTTAATAACAGAACGATGATCTAAAACGTCCCTTCCACTTGTAAACACAAACGAAGAAAACATAGCACATGTCTCTTAAATGTATACAAATTAACACAGTAACCCTTTTAAAACAAACCTCCACGTATACCTACTAACACAGTAGCCCAATCAAACATCCCTTTATTCTGACCCCCATTCAAACAAACAAAAGAAAAAGAAAGTCTTTAATACCTCTCGATCACAATTATCCAAAGATTATTTTCGTCAGGACACATGATTGGGTCTACAAGAGGCATTTTATTCATGTTTAATCATTATTGTTGTTGTCACTGCCTCTGCATAGCCACATTATAAGCATTACTACTTTTAAAAAAATACAAACGGAAAAAATTATAAATTTATTATAATCTTTAAATAAATATATATACCTAAACAAAGAAAAAGAACCTGTAATTTTACTGCACACGTTCAATTGAATAAAAACTTGACACCGAGGTGAGTAAAATTGTTAATTTGATATTACTTCCAACAGCTTGCCCCGTAAACTGCCAAAACTCTGTGTGTGCAGCTGATACTGGAATGTGTACAGGAGGCTGCAAACCAGGATTTTACGGAAAGGATTGCAAAACAGGTAAAGCTTTCTTTATTTTCACTGATTAAAACACGGGGAATATACATATAAATCTCTATACATATATATTCGCCCACGCTTTAAGAAGGGTGGTCCTGAAATGATGGGAAGGAAATGATAAATTGATGGTTTTTTTGCTCGTCCTTTGTCACACAATACCCCTTCCATGTTTACACACTGCTGTATAGCCTTCATGAACATCCCCTCCATTTACACGCACTGACAGTATAGCCGTTCCAAACATCATTTTAATGTTTACACACTGACACAATTGCCATCTTAAAGATCCCTCAACGTAAACAAATTCAAATATTTAGCCTTTCCAAACATCACTAACATGTAAAAACTAACACAGCAACCATCGAAAACTTCACTTCCATTTGCAAAGTAACACAACATCCTTCGTAAAATCATTTCCATGTGCAAACTAACACAACAGCCATCCCAAACATCACTTCCTCGTTTCACAATGACATTGATGCCACTGCTCGCACTTCTTTCATTTTTTCATATCCAAAATAGTCGTCTCGCTCAAGACTTCCAATTAACTTAATAACAGAACGATGATCTAAAACGTCCCTTCCACTTGTAAACACAAACGAAGAAAACATAGCACATGTCTCTTAAATGTATACAAATCAACACAGTAACCCTTTTAAAACAAACCTCCACGTATACATACTAACACAGAAGCCCAATCAAACATCCCTTTATTCTGACCCCCATTCAAACAAACAAAAGAAACAAAATTCTTTAATACCTCTCAATCACAATTATCCAAAGATTATTTTCATCTGGACACATGATTGAGTTTACAAGAGGCATTTTATTCATGTTTAATCATTATTGTTGTTGTCACTGCCTCTGCATAAACACATTATAAGCACTACTACTTTTAAAAAAATGCAAACGGAAAAAATTATAAATTTATTATAATTTTTAAATAAATGTATATACCTAAACAAGGAAAAAGAACCTGTAATTTTACTGCACACGTTCCATTGAATATAAACTTGACACCGAGGTGAGTAAAATTATTAAATTGATATCACTTCCAACAGCTTGCCCCGTAAACTGCCAAAATCCTGTGTGTGCAGCTGATACTGGAATGTGTACAGGAGGCTGCAAACCAGGATTTTACGGAAAGGATTGCAAAACAGGTAAAGCTTTCTTTATTTTCACTGATTACAACACGGAGAATATATATATGTAAATCTCTAAACATATAAATTCGCCCACGCTTTAAGAAGTGTGGTCCTGAAATGATGGGAGGGAAATGATAAATTGATGTTGTTTTTGCTCGTCCTTTGTCACACAATACCCTTTCCTTGTTTACACACTGCTGTATAGCCTTCATGAACATCCCCTCCATTTACACGCACTGACAGTATAGCCGTTCCAAACATCACTGCAATGTTTACACACTGACACAATTGCCATCTTAAAGATCCCTCAACGTATACAAATTCAAATATTTAGCCTTTCCAAACATCACTAACATGTAAAAACTAACACAGCAACCATCGAAAACATCACTTCCATTTGCAAAGTATGTTGTGTTACTTCGTAAAATCATTTCCATGTGCAAACTAACACAACAGCCACCCCAAAACATCAATTTCATGTACAAACTAACACAGCAGCCATCCCAAATATCACTTTCATGTACAAACTAACACAACAGCCATCCCAAACATCACTTTCATGTACAAACTAACACAACAGCCATCCCAAACTTCACTTTCATGTACAAACTAACACAACAGTCATCCCAAACATCACTTTCATGTACAAACTAACACAGCAGCCATCCCAAACATCATTTTCATGTACAAACTAACACAGCAACATCCCAAACATCACTTTCATGTACAAACTAACACAACAGCCATCCCAAACATCACTTTCATGTACAAACTAACACAGCAGCCATCCCAAACATCACTTCTATGTACAAAGTAACACAAGACCCTTCTTAAAATCATGTCCACGTACAAACTAACACAACAGCCATCCCCAAACATCACTTTCACGTAATGGCAGGGAGATTGAAGCCATCTATAGCATTCCTTTAATGTATAAATATGAACACAGTATCAATCTCGCTCAACCATTCAAATATACTTAATACTACATCACTTATCTCGAATGTATACAAACTCACACAGCAGCCACCACAAATGACCCAAACACGTATACACAATAACTCCGTAGACTTTTTCAACATCCTTTCATTATGATTCCGCATTCCCACATAAAAACCGCCTTTAATATCTGTTCATCTTAATGACATCCATCGAACTGATTATATTCATGCGGACACTGGACTCATTTTAGAAAAGGATTTTTTTTATTTAAATTCATGTATACACTTTATTGTTGTTCTCACTGACTCTGCCTAAAAAACATTAAAAGCAATACTACTTTTGTAAAAAATGTCAAGCAGGTAAAAAAAAATTAATCTCTTTCTTCAGAAAAAACAAAATAAGCTTGAAAAAAGTAAAAAAAAAACCTGGATATTTCATAGCAAATTTTAGCTGGCATGGAAGTAATGGGTTCAATTTTTGTTCATTGCAATACAGCTTAAACAGTGTGTGTGCTCAAGATACTGGATTGTGTACAGGCTGCAAACCAGGATTCCTTTTTTAAAAATTAATCAACTTTAAGTAAATAAGATATATATATATATATATATATATATATATATATATANCCAGTGATTTTGAGAGTTTGAGAGAAAAGAGCGATAACAAATTAAGTTTGTTTCCATTTATTTCTCACACAACAGATGTATGCACACTAACACAAAAGATATCACAAACATCACTTCCATGTATGCATATTAACACAATGACCATCCCAAGCATCTCTTCCACTGACATCGATGACTCTTCGACATCACGAGTCCCATCACCCTGAGTGCTGGGGATGTTAGCTTTGGTGGGGACTGAACTCCTGACCACCCGGGGTGCTGGTGATGTTGGCTTTGGCAGGGACTGAACTCCTGACCACCTGAGTGCTAGGGATGTTGGCTTTGGTGGGGACTGAACTTCTGACCACCTGGGATGCTAGGGATGTTGGCTTTTGTGGAGACTGAACTCCTGACGACACGGGGTGCTGGTGATGATGGCTTTGGTGGGGACTGAACTCCTGAACACCTGGAGTGCTGGGGATGTTGGCTTTGATTGGAATTAAACTTCTTACCACCCGGAGTGCTAGGGATATTGGCTTTGGTGGGGATTTAACTCCTGACCACTCGGGGTGCTGGGGATGTTGGCTTTGGTGGGGATTTAACTCCTGACCACCCGGGGTGCTGGGGATGTTGGCTTTGGGATGTTGGCTTTGGTGGGGACTGAACTCCTGAGGACCCAGGATGCTGGTGATGTTGGCCTTGGTGGGGACTTAACTTCTGACCACCCGGAGTGCTGGGGATGTTGGCTTTGGTGGGGACCGAACTCCTGACCACCAGCGATTTGGTTTAAGACAGTTTAGACCGCTCGGCCATCCTAACACAGTATAAACACAGTAGCCGTCTTAAACAACCCGTTCCTGTATACAAACTAAAGCAAGACACACCTCCAACAACGTTTTAAATGTACTCACTACTACAGCAGTCATCTTTAACACCCCTTCTATGTACACCAATTTTTTTTTTTAAAGTAGTCTTTTTGTATACCCTAACTTAGTCGCCTTCCAAAACATCTGTTACAAGTATAGCAGCTCGCACAATAGGGATTTTAAGCACCACTTTCATGTTTGAACAGCTATTTTATAAAAGTAGACATCTAATACACGTGTAATAATGGGAGGGACGGCAATCGGCTCACTAAATAGGACATGAGTAACACAAATTAAGGTCAAACCTGAAACAAAAAAGAAACGCAACAAAACATTGTTGTTATCTTGCGTTCATCTATTTTTATATTTGACCTAACTTTGTTTTACCCATTTCCCATCTAAAACAACGCTTCCGTTTATGAAAACCTACACAGCGTTCATCTCAAACAGCAATTCCATCTATCCGAAATAATACAGTAGACATGCTTAACATCGTTCCACTTTTATTCACTTTTCAAAAAAAACAACACCAAAAAAAACAAAAAAAACAGAAAACCAACAAAGGTATTCGCCTTAATCACGCCTATCCGACTATATATATTAATCCAGTACACTGGACTGACCAAGCAGGTAGAATTTTTAATTTTGTTGCTTCCCTGCCTATGCATGGCCACATCGTAAGCGATATTGTTTACACAAAATTTCAAACGGAAAGAATGTATACATTTATTTTTTTCTTTAAAATGAAAATAAAAAGTTGCAAACTGTAACTGATCAAGACAATGTTAATTATAAGATATGTGTAATATATATACATATATATATATATATATATATATATATATATATATATATATATATATGTAACGCATGTTCTGACATCATTGTAACTTAGTGGGTTATGTCAGTAGCATGGTCACTTGTTTTATGTTAATAATTCAGGATGCCGGCTAAGACTTCTTTGCTCTTCCACTTACTATCCAGGCACGCAAATAAGAATACTGAATCCTGGTTAAACTTACAGTACTTTATTGAATCACACTTTACACTGATAATATTAATAATAATCCTTGCATGAATGTAATCATTTCATATATCTATATATAATATTCCATCACTCAGAAAGACACGTCCTCACACTGTTATAACTCAGCTCAACTGTACAATAACTCAGCTCTAATTCAACTGCTACTTTTATTACCAGCAAAGCGTGGAAAACGACCGCTTTGACAAAAACATAATTTTACTCTCCAAAAACGTGGAGCTCACATTTGCTTCTCAAAATACAATCCACTCTCTCTCTCTCGTGGAAAAACATGGTCAACACAATTCACTGTTAACTCATGCTACCTCTCTGTTTTCTTGTGAAAACATAGTCTGTTACATGCCCCACCCATCTGAAACAATTTGTGCAACAAAATTTTTGGCAAAAATTATATGTTGAAATAATGATAATGTCTCTTAGAAAATTTCAATCCCACATCTATCAATCAAATAAGTGTAACAACATTAACATTTCATCATTATGAAATACAGGGCCTTTGACTGTTAATATCACACATAATAGTGAATAATTTATTTTGGCAAAACAATTTACAAAATCATTAATGACAACCTCTTAAAATTCTTATGTATGTTAATGTGAAATGACATTGACATCTTAATGATTAATAAACACTGCAAAATGAATGTAACAACCTTAAATTTTGCATTCGATAATTTACAATTGGTTAAAATCTGATATTCATTTACAAAATTGATATGTACAAGTGTATTTTCAAAAAAACTGATTGAACGTATGTGTGTATCTTCATTTAGAATGTCAACAATTTATAAAATAGTTCTGTATTGACAATTACCATATTTGAAAAATTTTGCTCTTGACAGCTGACAATTGATTTAGCAGAAAGTGTTATGCTAGGTTAGCTAAAATGGAATGTTAAGTATTTCTCCGCACTGAAGAAAATGACAATTGTGATCTGTTACTATCTCTTTGTCTATCTCTTTCCATAAAATTGTTACTTGCAGTTGTGTAATGTTCTTCTTTAAACTTGTTTTCTCTGTCTTTGATTTCATTTTTGAATTTTTCAGCCTGTCTGTATTGTTGATGAATATTACTTCAATTTAGTCTAAAAATGTGTTTTGCCCTCTCTGATTTTTGTTCTGTATATGTTTTATTAAGAATTCCTTTATTATGTTGTCTTGTTATGCTATGTGTTGGATTCATGTTTAAATGTCTTCCTCTTATCCCTTCTGTTATTAGATCCATATTGTTATTGCCTAGTTCTTTGATATTGACAATAATTAATGGACAAACTGGATTATGCATTACAACAGCTGTTACAGATCCTGTGATCCATGGACAATCAACTTTGATTCTAGCTTTCCTACATTCTATACTATTATTGTTGGTTAGGATAACTATTGCTTTTTCATTTGTGTAGTAGTTGTCACTTACTAATTTTCTATCTACTACTATTGTGGTACAACCAGTGTCTCTGAGACATTGAACTACTCTGTTATTAACACTTGCTGGTGAGAATTTAAGTGTTCCATCAGTGTGATAAACACTAGCTGATGTTTCATGCGGTGTATTCTGATTGTGTGTACTATTTGTTTGATTAGTGTTGTGTCTCTGGTGATCACTTGGTTGGTTTCTATATTGTTGTCTACTCCTATTTGTACTGTTGTATCTAATTGGACTACTGTTGGGTGATGTTCTCTGATAGTATTGTTGTGAATGTCCTAAATCTTTATGTAATTTCCTACACTCATATTTCTTGTGACCTGGAATGCCACAGTAGAAACATTTGTTGTTGTTTGAGTAATTAGCTATTGATGTCTGGTAATTATTTTGATAATTTCTCTGAAAATTCTTATTTTGCTATCTGGCGGGTAGGCTGTGGTATCTTCTGTTTTGATAATATGTGTTTTGTTTTTGTGAGTCCTTATCATTGTTTATGTTTCTTATGGAAGCTAGTGTGCTATTTCTATTATCTAGCTCTTCATTGTGGTGAGCATCTTTAAATGTTTTTATGGAGTCTACTAAATCACGCTCATTTTTAATTTTTCTCTGTTTAAGGAACAAAAATAAAGGAACTGATGCATTTCTTAATATTTTGTCTATAATAAACATATCTAGTAATGCTTTGGGATCATTTAGGTCAATTTCAGTGAGTTCAAGCCATTTGACAAGATTATCTCTAATATTGAATATGGTGGTGATATGGTCTACTTCTCTCTCTAGTCTTATGTTATGAAATTTTTTTCTATAAATGTCTTCTGTGTTTCCATAAAACTTTAACAAAACTTTCTTTATATAGGTATAATTGTTCTTTTGCTCTTCACTAAGTGAATTAATGATACTTAGGCTTTGTCCTGATAATCTGCTCAATAAAATATTTGCCCAAGTCTCTTCCCTATAATTGTAAGACTGACAGATGCCCTCAAATTGTGACAAATAACTAATAATTTCCTCTTTATGTTCATTAAATTCCCTAAATTTAGGTTTGTATGTGCTATTGGTTTCTCTATTGCTTGTTGATGGTGTATGCTGTCCTGATTCTATTCTAGCTCTTTCTAGTTTTATTTCTTCCTCTCTTAATTTCATATCCTGTTCTTTTAATTTCATTTCTTGTTCTTTTAATTTTAGTTCTTCTATTTGTTTAAGGTCGCTTCTCTCTAACAGTCTAGCGTCTCGGTCTTTGTCTTTGTCTTGTCTGTCTTTGTCTTCTTTCTGTCTGTCCCTAATTTTGTCCATCTCCCTAGTTACGAAGTCAGATAACTTCTCCTGCTTTATGCCAAGTTTCTCGGCTACTTCAAATAGTTCTAAGTACTCTGCCATTTTTTAATTATTATGTGTTTGAGTAACTAAAATAATATATTGGTATGTATAAGTATATATGTTATTTCCTTATTCTTTAGTTATCAATTAAAATAGTTCACAATATTACATTATATTTACATGTTCATGAATGAATACAAAATGCAAGTTAATAATTAATTAAATGTAAGCAAAATTTAAAAAAATAATTAAATTGTCTACTTCACGACATAAATACAGATATGAAGACGTTTACATGAATACGAATGAGACAATAAATACAAAAGTACTGTTTAGTTTATGGACCACAAGATAGTAGAAAATATGACAGTAGGTTTGACAGTATGTATGACAATGACAAGACAAATAGAACAAATCTGACAAGATCTACTAAAAACAACAGTTATGACAATGTAGAAACTAGACTTCACAACTAACACAAAATTATCCTACAGTGTTATAAATAGGGCCAGAAGAAACCTTTACTGTTTTAATAAAAAAACTTCCCTAGGAAAGATAACACCGTGGATATCCCTAAAGTACACTCTAAAATTAAACTTATAATATACAGAAAAAGTAAAAAATTTACTTAATCTAATTAAGTATGATATAAGTAGATTTTTAAAGTCTTAAATTATATATAATACATAACACATAATATATATAAATACCAAGTGTCCAAAAGAAATCTGTAGTTGGTCACCTCTGCTCCTCTGTGACGCTATGATTTCTGTGTAGTCGATAATCCTTCTATGTAGTAGATAATCCTTCTATGTAGTAGATAATCCTTCTATGTAGTAGTGTACTTGTGTAAATAATCCAATGAGAAAGTTACAAACAAACTGCTTCAATAATCCAATGCAAGTACCTTGCGTAATATAAGTAATAGTGTAATAATCCAATTGAAAATGGTGTACTTTCTCTCCGATTCTGTTGAACTTCTGAGTAATTAAAGAATTACTTGACTTGAATTGCGCACTAGGCTATGTGCAGCTTATATAAAGTAAAGATTCTGCTGGGGAAATCTTATTTTCGATGTCTTGGTACACACATCTCATCTGTAATAACGGCAGACTTCTGTTGGTCTTGTGTAGTGAATCATCTCTTTCTTGCGTTGACTAATGACGTTGACCATTCGAATATGTAGGCTTATAGTTAAATTTTTGCTACAGTTGTAGATAACTTGAATCTTGAATACTTCTTCTATGCTGATTGTTCAGTCTATTTGACATTAACTGTATTATTTGCCTCTTTGTATTTATTCCCTTTGAAATTATTACTAAAATAGATTTCTTGCTGTTGTGTTTCTCCAACCGGGTGTGTTCACTCCGCTAAGTAGGCTAAATAGTTGAAGCTGTGTACCAGTTATTTGAACTCTTGACTCTTGACTCCGGTGACTGACCTAAATTGGTTGTCGTCGGCTAGCTCTGTTACTTGTAGTATTTATTTCAATTGTTATTTATGTACACACTTTGATATGTTGCTAGTTCCATTTGTAACACATTAAAATAATTGTTATAAGTTTACTTTTAGGCTTATGATAATAATTTTCGGCTACAGTTGTAATTGATGAACGTCCTACTTCTTTACCATGCTTTTTGTGTGTAGTAGACTCGTCTCAGACTTGATTGATACACGGGAGTAATGGCGTTCTATGTATTCTTCCGCTCGAATGTTAAAATATATCGTTGTTACTCAATGTTCTGTAACACACTTCTGATACCATTTGTAACGCATGTTCTTACATCATTGTAACTTAGTGGGTTATGTCAGTAGCATGGTCACTTGTTTTATGTTAATAATTCAGGATGCCGGCTAAGACCTCTTCGCTCTTCCACTTACTATCCAGGCACGCAAATAAGAATACTGAATCCTGGTTAAACTTACAGTACTTTATTGAATCACACTTTACACTGATAATATTAATAATAATCCTTGCATGAATGTAATCATTTCACATATATATATATATAATATTCCATCACTCAGAAAGACACGTCCTCACACTGCTATAACTCAGCTCAACTGTACAATAACTCAGCTCTAATTCAACTGCTACTTTTATTACCAGCAAAGCGTGGAAAACGACCGCTTTGACAAAAAAATAATTTTACTCTCCAAAAACGTGGAGCTCACATTTGCTTCTCAAAATACAATCCACTCTCTCTCTCGTGGAAAAACATGGTCAACACAATTCACTGTTCACTCATGCTACCTCTCTGTTTTCTTGTGAAAACATAGTCTGTTACAATATATATTGTAACAGAGCGGTTTTTACGGAGGAGGGCTCAGGTCCTGACTTGTCACCAACTATCTTGAGTTAATAGCGGTCAGTACAGGACCGTTCCACTCTGTGATTTATAATGTGGGTGTCTAGGCGCTGGAAAATGACAAAAGCTCACGGGGACTTGAACGAAATCCAACAACTCAAACTTCAGGTGTTCGATGATAAAATAAACAATATTTATTATTAAAATGAAAATCTCTTCAAAGTCTTCACTAACTGCCAGCTATCTATGTGAATCTCTAAAGCTTTGATTGTTTAACTGTATCCTTTCAACTCCTGATCTGTCTCGACTGTTCTAACGCCACACTACTGCTATACCTCTCAACTCCATGGTATCGAAAAACTTCTCCCTTACATTTGTTCGTCGTGTGACTATAGACTCTACTAGCCGACCATCCCACGGTCATTGAATTGCCACATCATTAAAGACAACATTCCCCTACCAGATCATTTACACCCGGACGTCTATGCCATGTCCCTACGCAGCTATTAGCGTCTATCACGTTGAGACTTTTACTATTACTGATCATTACTCTATGGTCCCCTGGTCTTCGTGAACACTCCATTTCCACCTGCAAACTAAAAACGTGTTAATCGAAAACATTTGTGATACCCGTTCCCACACTGTGCACCAAACTATCATGTCTTCCTTGTACTACCAAAAACTCTGCCGAGGTCAGGCCAACAATTCCCTAATCCATTGTACCTTTGTGAGGCACCCACGCCCATCGGTTCCGTCTCCAGCATGGTCATTTGTGACATATATATATATATATATCTCCACACCAAAATACAATATCTTAAATTTTCAATGAAATCTTAAAAGCATGAGGTGGTAACTGAGTAATTATTCTTATCATACACTGCGAGGTAAACATAATACAGGCGCTTTCTGTTTTTCTTCCAAAGTGACTTTACTTTGTGAGCTTCGTTTCAGTTCCAGCTTGGCTCCCATTACAATGACATTTTATTCAAGCGATATGTGTGTTTTGTATAACAGTGACAAGAGCCGTCTTGCACTGGAAACCAGAAATGGTCAAACACGTTTTGACTCCGTGCCACATAATTGTCCTCGGGGAGTTAAGGGACGTAGCCAGTTCTAAGGCTACAGTTGAATTGTTTTACAAAGCCAAAAATATAAAATTGTCCCCAATGATTTAGCCTCGAGCATATAGAACGATAAACTCCTAGCCCCCCCCCCCCGGACGTAGCCAGTTCTAAGGCTACAGTTTAATTGTTTTACAAAGCCAAAAATATAAAATTGTCCCCAATGATTTAGCCTCGAGCATATAGAACGATAAACTCCTAGCCCCCCCCCCCCCTTCCAACACCCCCCTCATCTTTGAACCCATAAACATGAATTTGTGTTAACACTTCACCGACACAAAAAATTGAGCCGATTTAAAAAAACAAACAAAAAAATCTGTTTGATTTTGTATGAGAAATTGCATTCTCGAAGTGGACATATAATGTATTTATTCATCCCTGTACATACTGATGTCCTTAATATTGACCTAAACAAAGAAAAAAAAACCCTGTCATTTTTAAATAACACGTTTCGTTCAACATTAAGATGACATCGATGTTGTTTAAATTGTTACTTCGATATCCCATGAAACAGAATGCCCCCAGAACTGCCCAAAGAAATTGTGCGGTCAAGATACTGGAACGTGTGCAGGAGGCTGCACACCAGGATTTCACGGGAAGGACTGCAAATCAGGTGAAGGTTTCTTTTTTTTTTAAAGTGATGAAATGTCACAAAACATGGAATATGGATAAGGAATAATAGTGCCGTCTTAAAGGCATGGGCACGCCGAGCACTTGACCCAGGGTGTCACACTTCTAGGGGGCATAACAGCCCCTTAAGAAAAGGGACTCACACCTCTAGGGGCATTATTCTTCAAATATTATCGTTTAATACTAAAAAAAATTTGAGACATTGTTTTGCTTCCAAAATGACGGTAGGAAGTCGTTGCTCTCCAGTCTATTGAACCAATTTTCTATTGTCACACCGGTTCACTATTTTTGGTTTGGTACTAGCTTTGGAAAAAAGGTTTCTTCTTATGAATCATCAATTTTAAAATAACCATCAATTATTTTCTTGTTTTGGGATGAGTTATTCAAAGAGTCTTACGTTGTTGAACTATAAAGATTCTAGGGCTAAAACTAAGCTAGGGCTAAAAGCATACCCTTAGGGGGCTCTCCACTACCAGAATCTATTTCTTGTTATGCATGGTGGTGGCGACGAGGTCAGATCGGTGCTGATGGTGACCTATCCGCTTCCCCCGAACGCCTGGAATACTAAGCTGTTCAAAACTCATAGGCTGAGCAAGGCAAAAATGCATTTTATTAAAAAAATACTTGTAATGTCGGCTTTAGACAGCAGTTCCCATGGAAGCGGCGCCCAGGACGATCGGTAAGACAGTTTTGTCGCCCATGTCCATGTGAAGTACATGGGATTTTTTTCGTTTAATTCAACTATTAATGACCTATATATCTTAAAACGATTTTGTCGACACTTGATTTTGGCCACATGTTTAATTTGCCCTCTTGCCTCTTTCTGAGTATACATAGGGATAGGGCCTCGGTGCGTTGCTGTGCTCAGAGCTCAGGCTGCTGTAGAGACGGCCCTGGCTATACCCAACTCAAAACATCCCTTCCATGTATGCATAGTGACACGATAGCCATCCGAAACATCCTTTCCATGAAAACACGCTAGCACAAAAGCCACCCACAAAAACAATAACAAAACAAACAAAAACATTTCTACGTATACGTACTAATACAGCATCCATCCCAAGCATCTCTTTAACATACACGCACTCAGACAGCATCCATCCCAAGCATCTCTTCAACGTACACGCACTCAGACAGCATCCATCCCAAGCATTTCTTCCACGTATACGCACTTATACAGCATCCATCCCAAGCATTTCTTCCAAGTACACGCACTAACACAGCATCCATTCCAAGCATCTCTTCCACGTATACGTACTTACACAGCATCCATCTCAAGCATCTCTTCCACATACACGCACTAACACATCAACCATCCCAAGCATCTCTTCCACATACACGCACTAACCCACCACCCATCCCAAGCATCTCTTCCACGTACACGTAGTAACACAGCATCCATCCCAAGAATCTCTTCCACGTACACGCACTCACACAGCATTCATCCCAAGCATCTCTTCCACGTACACACACTCACACACCATCCATCCCAAGCATCTCTTCCACGTATACACAGTGACATTGCAGTCTCCCAAACATCACTTCACATGTTTTACAAATAAACGCAGCAACCATCTTGAAACAACTTGACCGTGAACATAAACTAAAGCATGACGCACCTCTAACAACAGTTTAAACGTTCTAACTAATACAGCATACACCTTAAACATCCCTTCTGTGTAACCAAACAAGCTATTTTTTTTTTTAAATAGTATTTTTGTATACTCTAACACATTAGCCATCCCGAAGATCTCTTTCGTGTATGGAAAAACATTGCCATCTTAAAGACCCCATTCATGTTTGCACACTAACGCAGAAGACATTTAAGATACACATTCTGCTATGCATACACCAACACAAAGGTGGCATCTAAACAACAAAACCTTACATTTTAAAAATTCTACACAGCAACCTTCTCAATTTACCCTTCCATCTATACACAGCAGCACAAAAGTCATATTATTTATAATTTCACTCTTATTCACTTTTCTAAAAAAAAAATATATGTATAAAAAATCAAAACAAACATATTCATAGTAATCACACTTATTCAATTGAATATATCCGGTACACTGGACCGATGTAAGAAGTAGAATTTCAATTAAAATATATGTATATATATATTATATATAAATACTTTTTTGACGTTTCGCCGCCTATGCTTAGCCGCATTTTAAGCCATGCTATTATTAAAAATTTCAAACAGAAAAAAAAAGCATAATTATATTTTTCTTTCAATTAGAAATTTTACGTTGCAAAAGTCTAGGATATCCAAACAATGTGAACTATAACATATCGAGATAAAGGGAAAAAAACGACTGGAATTTCACTAATCACAATGCATTTGATATTAACATGACACTGAGTTGGGTTTAAAATGTTACTTTGATATCACTTCACAAAGCATGCCCCACAAACTGCCATAACAAAGAGTGCGCTCAAGACACAGGATTGTGTACAGCCGGCTGCAAACCAGGATTTATCGGAAAGGAATGCAATGAAGGTAAAGGTTGTTTTTTTCCAAATGATTAAATGTAACAAAATGGTAAATATTCAAGGAATGATTGGTTTTATTCCCAACTAGACGTGGAATTCAACCTTACCTTACCTTGCTTCCACACATTATTTTTTGTATTGAAATAGACTTCTGCGATCCGAACCAAACTTCCCCCCCCCCTGTCCCCAGCTTGGAAAACCTTGTTTACATTTGAACGGATTCTAATTAGATTTAGAATATGCTATCATGTGATGGTGTCCATCCATCCATCCATCCATCTAAAATAATAATAAAGATCATTTGACAAACACGCTTCATCCCCAAAAGCTCGAAGCGCGGTACAAAGTCAACCTTATTAAAAAGAAATAAAAATAATTTAAAATTTACCACATTTAAAAACAGACGCAACAATATAAAGCTACATACGAGCATAGCAAGTCAAAGTCTTTCATCCCGTTTCAACCATACGCAACACATGCCAATATGCATTAACTGAAAAAAGATAGTAGATAGCATCAACCCAGAAGGTGTTTGCGAAATTGATGTGTTTTTAAATCGGTTTTAAAGGACTCCAGTGTCTGGCTGTTTCTGAGACCGACAGGAAGGGCGTTCCAAATTGTTGGGCCGGCAAATTCAAAAGTTCGCTTTCCGAAAGTCTCAAGGCGAACACACGGTATCGATATTTTGCCACTATCGGGTGAGCGGAGTTGCCTAGTGGGTACATAAGGCGTCATGAGCGCTTTGAGATAGGACGTCGCCATGTCATGCAGGCAGCGGCAGCACAAAGTTGCAATTTTGCACTCTATGCGATCGTGGACCGGCAGCTAGTGCAGCTCCCTTAGAAGTGTTTTAGCATGGTTGAATTTGCGTTTGCGAAGAACAATGCGAGCCGCATTATTCTGTGCTCTTTGAATTTTACCCAGGAGCGGAGCTGGGAGACCCACCATGAGGACATTGCAGTAGTCCATGCTTGATAACACAAATGCAGACATCAGCCTCTTTGATGTATCTAACGTTAAGAAAGGTCTGATATGAGTAATCCTGCAAAGCTCTAGAAAAATTGCGTTGCAAAGCATGTTAATGTGATTTTCCATAGTTAGTAATTTTCTAAATAGATAACCAGGTCTGTATGAACAAACTCAATCTGCATACATGAGAGAGTAAGGGATGTTGTGTTTTTTTTTACAGATTTTTTTTTCTGAGCAAATGCGGATCAGCTCAGTCTTTTCATCATTCAATTTAAGCTTGTTTATGGTTATCAAGTGCTTACCTGACTCCACTGTCTTCTGTGTTTTACTAAGAAGTAGAAAGATCTAAGAGGTGATCACGGATTGATGAAGTTGTGTATCGTCCACGAACATGTGATACAGCATGTCAAATTGCTTGATCACCCAGATGCTGAACGTACATAGTGAAAAGCACCGGGCCCTGGGTCTCCGAATTAAATTATAGATTACTTCCAGGTCAAGCCGTTTGAAATAACTGGCTGGACCCGATTTGTCATATTCGAGTGAAACCATCTCAGGATGGTATCTGTGAGACCGAACGTTCTTTGTAGACGCTGGAGTAGTATGCCATGGTCAAGCGTATCGAATGCTGCCTATGAATCGAGTAAAGACAAAATGGATACCTGGCCCTCATCACAAGACAATAGAAGGTCGCTTATGACGCGCAACGGGGCTGTCTCAGTAGAGTGATGCACCCTGTATGCTGACCGGAAAGGTTCAAACAAGTCACACTGATTGAGGTGATCCAGTATTTGGCGGAGAACGACTTTTTCTAAGATTTTTGGATATAAATGGTAGATTTGAGATGGGGCGATAATTTTCCATCACATTTGGGTCAAGATTTGCTTTCCTATATTTCTGCCTCTGCATAGCCACCTTATAAGAATTACTACTTTATAAAAAAAGATACAAACGGAATTTTTTTTTTATTATAATCTTTAAATAAATATATATACATAAAAAAAAAAAAAACTGTAATTTTACTGCACACGATCCATTGAATATAAACTTGACACCGAGGTGAGTAAAATTGTTAATTTGATATCATTTCCAACAGCTTGCTCCATAAACTGCCAAAACTCTGTGTGTGCAGCTGATACTGGAATGTGTACAGGAGGATGCAAACCAGGATTTTACGGAAAGGACTGCAAAACAGGTAAAGCTTTCTTTAATTTCACTGATTACAACACGGGGAATATACATATAAATCTCTTCACATATATATTCGCCCACGCCTTAAGAAGGTTGGTCGTTAAATGATGGGAGGGAAATGATAAATTGATGTTGTTTTTGCTCGTCCTTTGTCACAAAACACGCCTTCCATGTTTACACACTGCTGTATAGCCTTCATGAACATTCCCTCCATTTACACGCACAGTATAGCCGTCCCAAACATCACTGCCATGTTTACACACAGAACCAATAGCCATCTTAATGATCCCTCAACGTATACAAATTTAAATATTTAGCCTTCCCAAACATCACTAACATGTACAAACTAACACAGCAGTCATCCCAAACATCACGTCCATGTGCAAAGTAACACAAGACCCTTCATAAAATCATGCCCACGTGCAAACTAACACAACAGCCATCCCAAACATCACTTTCACGTAATGGAAGGGAGATTGAAGCCATCTATAGCATTCATTTAATGTATACATATGAACACAGTATCAATCTCGCTAAACCATTCAAATATACTTAATACTACATCACTTATCTCGAATGTATACAAACTCACACAGCAGCCACCACAAATGACCCAAACACGTATACACAATAACTCCGTAGTCTTTTTCAACATTCTTTCATTATGATTCCGCATTCCCACATAAGAACCGCCTTTAATATCTATTCATCTTAATGACATCCATCGAACTGATTATATTCATGCGGACACTGGACTCATTTTAGAAAAGGATTTTTTTATTTAAATTCATGTATACACTTTAATGTTGCTCTCACTGACTCTGCCTAGAAAACATTTAAAGCAATACTACTTTTTAAAAAAATGTCAAGCAGGTAAAAAAAAAATTAATTTCTTTCTTCAAAATAAACAAAATAAGCTTGAACAAAGTAAAAAAAAAAAATCTGGATATTTTTCATAGCATATTTTAGCTGGCATGGAAGTAATGGGTTCAATTGTTCATTGCAATACAGCTTAAACAGTGTGTGTGCTCAAGATACTGGATTGTGTACAGGTTGCAAACCAGGATTTCTTTTTTAAAAATTAATCAACTTTAAGAAAATATGATATATATATCATACCCACATATAAAGCACCTTTAATATCTGTTCATCTTAATGACATCCATCGAACTGATTATATTCATGCGGACACTGGACTCATTTTAGAAAGGGATTTAAAAAAAAAAATCATGTATACACTTTATTGTTGTTCTCACTGACTCTGCATTAAAAAAAACATTTAAAGCAATACTACCCGGAGTGCTGGTGATGTTGGCTTTGGTGGGGACTGAACTCCTTACCACCCGGAGTGCTGGTGATGTTGGCTTTGGTGGGGACTGAACTCCTGACAACCCGGAGTGCTGGTGATGTTGGCTTTGGTGGGGACTTAACTCCTTACCAACCGGAGTGCTGGTGATTTTGGCTATGGTGGGGACTGAACTCCTTACCACCCGGAGTGCTGGTGATGTTGGCTTTGGTGGGGACTTAACTCCTTACCAACCGGAGTGCTGGTGATTTTGGCTATGGTGGGGACTGAACTCCTTACCACCCGGAGTGCTGGTGATGTTGGCTTTGGTGGGGACT